TGCATTTGATTTAGGAGCTATCCAGGCCCTGGTGCTTAGCAGTATTGCAGAAAAGGATATACAGCAGTGTTCCTCAGCCGCAGCAACTTTAAGATGTATGGACTTCAACCCCAAGAATTCCCAGCCAGCATGTATATAAAGTCATCATACCTCACTTTTAGCTTTCCTGATCTATCAGACTTCAAGACCTGATTGTGAAGCTGAAAAGTTTAGTAAGCATAACAGTGCTTAAATTTTCTTAAACAACTAAAGTCATTGTATACTATAAAAATTCAGATTCAGAATAATTTAAAATAAAAACCAACAGCACCTTGTCCACAGTTTCTAATCTCAATTTACAGAACATAAAAGAAGAGCATAAGAGAGAAGCTAGGCAGGAGGAGAGTACAAGTATCTAAAAGAAGTAGGTTTTTTCATTGAATCCCATTGTATAAATGGCAAAGGCAACAAATGGAAAATAATAGAAAAGCTATAGAAATGAAGATTAGGGATGTGCATCATTTCATATTCAGTTCCAAACAGGTGCTTCAGAGTCTATGGGAGCACAAACATAGAAACTATCTGCATTTCTTTAAAGCAACTGAGTATTTTCCTGGAACCGCACATTCCCAAGAAAAAACGCGGCTGCTTTAAAGAATTGTAGGCAGGTGTCCTCTATGTGTTTCAAAGCATCTTTTCAAAATGGAATCCAAAGTGCTCCACTGCCCTATAATATGTGACATTACATAAGTATTGATCAGATATGCTGAGACTGTTGCCAAACATAAAACTAGCTTTTCCCCTCAACTACCCACATAACCACCAACTACTACCTACTTGCTGTTAACATATAATTCACTGCTGTTTTCAACCTAGAATATATATGTTTTCTAGTATCTTGAGAACAATGGAAATCTATAAGATCCAGCACCAAACCAAGATATTTTGCATCTTGTACCAAAAGACAGCCCATCACAGTCCACATATAGAAGCTGACAAGACTGGGATCTCACTTCATTCATTCTGGCAGTACACCAGAGCACATGGCAGTCCATTCTTCTGTATCTTATTACATTTCCAAAACCCCAGAATTTGCTGCCAGAGCCAACTACCCTCTCTGTCTAATGGTAGGGCTAGCTCTGATACAGCTTCCTTGTCTCATCACTCTTTCTCCTCCTGTCCCACTTTCAATCATCTAACATTTCAATTTTGCTTTGTTGTACTTTGTTGCATTACTTTTCTTTTTCCTCACTACAGTTGGAAGAATTCAACTAATTCATTTTTCTCACTTCTTTGCTAAAAGTAAGATTCAGGTGATAACTTTGGCTCAACATGACCATCTTGTCATTCGTTATCTTTTATTACTTCCCTGAAATCTTGAAATAATGATTCTACTTTATTTCTTTCCTATATAGTGCCTGGCACCTTGGTTAAAAACTCCCTTGTATTTTTACTACTGAAATGCCTCTATTTCTCTTTCTATAATAGAAAGCCATAATGCCCACTGATCCTGCAATAAAATAGATATCAGTGTCTTTGGTTTAGCTCTTGAAACAGACTTTTTTCTTGTACTATATGCAGTGTATTGCCCTGAATATTTTAAATGTTGCACAGTGAATTGGAGAAGAAAAATGGGAAGAGATAGAAAGAAATCAGGCTTGTAACCAGGTTATTGATTGTTGGCTCCTGACTGGACAACAGCTGCATAAACTGCCTCTTAAATCTTAATTTTGCTACTGCATTGAAGGAGGTGAGGCAGGAAATAAGGTCAAGCTGCAGAAGTACAGGTGTTAGTTCCATGGGCGGGAAAGAATTTTCTTCCCTTAGACAAAAGAAATGGAAATACAAGAGAAGGATCTGGTAGAAAAATGATTTATTATCCATATTTATATCCCACCTTTGTATTTTAAAAAGACACTTTATAACCATATACAGCTAGGAAAAGCAAAGTAAGCCAATAAAATGGATATTCAGGATGAAAAATAATTCGAGAAATCTAGAGGGTTATTTACAATTTGCCAAGTTATTTGAATGGAAATAGATTTTTAGATGAGATCTAGGAGGGAAATTCATATATTATTTGGAATTGTTAGGGGGAAATTATTTGGTGCTGACACCCCGTCATACTTGGTGCCCTTGTACAACTGACTTGCACACTCAGCCTCTCATCTGCCTTCTGTCCCAGATATTGCAGCAGTAAATAAAAGCAGAGTCATAGTCTGATATTTCGTTTTCTGTCTTTTCTTCTGGCATGTTAGTCTACAGCGAGAAAAGTTCCTTGTCACCATCTAATCCATCATTTAGCTTCTAACAGTAGCCAAGCCAATTACACTAGGGAAATTGCAAGTGAATGTGAAGACAATACATTCGCCTGCTGTTCATCTTTGCTCCTATCTTCAGAGACCCACTGCCACTGAACATGGAAGTTCTATGTTGTCATTATGCCTGAAAAGAGAGTTTTTCATGGGTGGAGCTGGGATGGAGAAGCTAGAAAGAAATTTGGATAAGGAAATAAAGAGAAGGTTAGAGCAAGAAAGTTTCATGACAGGTGGGATGTGTAACATGCCCACACTGGAAAGTCTCTTGCTGCCCCAGTCGTTTCTCAGCCCCTTACCCATATTTAAAATGGGAACTACAGTCATCTGCAGCCCTTCATGGCACAGGACCAGGTTATCTGAGGAGCCGTCTCACCCCCATTACATCAGCCCTCCCACTTGGTCCGGCAGAAGGGGCATGTTGCAGGCTCCACCAGTCAAGGAATTTCAACTGGTGGGGTCTAGGAAGAGGGCCTTTTCTGCCATGGCCCCTTCTCTGTGGAACAATCTACCTCCCGAGGTGAGGTGTGCCCCCACTCTCATGGCCTTCAGGAAGAGCGTGAAATCCTGGCTATGCCAGATGGCCTGGGGGCCGGATAGGGGCTGGCATCAGTGGAAGTGGCTTGTGGGGTAATTGATTTTACTTCCCCGCCATCTTGAATGTTTTTAGTTTTTATGTATAGGGCTTGTTTCTGTAGTTTGACTTTTTAATTAATTAATTAATTAATTAATGGGGGTATTTATTTTTTAACTGTTTGTGGGTTTTACCTTCATTGTGAGCCGCCCAGAGTCACCCGCTGGGGGATACGGGTGGCATACAAATTTAATAAATAAATAAATCTGTTAGATGGCCTAGCTGTCAGGATGAATAAGGAAAGAACTGGACGTCATATTGTTCACTTAAAAGCTCATATCACTCAAATCAAAAGCAGAAGAGAGGATCAAACGTACTTGCATTGGCACATGAGAAAACTTTTTAAGAATACAAACTAAAAGCACCCCCCTCCCTGCCGGTTGAAACATAACTTACTAGAGTTGCTCTCCTTTTTATTCTTACCTGATGAGCTTGTATGCCATTGTACTATATGTATCTAAGGAAGCGAACTGAACAAGGTAAAAGGAACAATAATACTGGGCTACTTGGCAAAACTTTTGGGAAGATTACCTGTACAGTACAAATCCTACCATCACTAAATATTCTGGAGACCGCTAGATCAAGATTACAAATCTGAAAATAAATTTTATAGAACTGACCTCACTATTATGCCCACGTGCCAAATCAGTTGTATCTCAATAACTACAGAGCACCTCCGTAGTCTGATATAAATGGCCATGTTGCTGTTAACTTTTAATTCTTCCACTGAACACAAATTCCTCAAATTCTGAGTCTTTTTCATCCCATTACCATAGACAATTCATGCTGCAAAAACTCACTTAAAAGCCTCCTTTGAAAAAATAATAATAATTTTAAAAGCTCTGCAGAGGTATATTTGTCAAGGGTACCTGTGTGGCTGCACAGGTGAATCCCAACAGGTGAGTGTGTTGTATAAGTTGCAAGTTGCATATAACCTCTTTGCACACAACACCCATCCTACAGTCAATTCAGATGAAACAGTTCTCAGTGAAAAAAGCTTTCAGATGCTGTCTAGCCTCCTTCCTTCCCCACCTTTAAAAAGCTGCTTATACTTTGCAGGTTGTGGGAGAGGGTCGTAAAAATGGAGCCCCACATCCCTGAAGCTATAGCTGTGGCTCCTAAAATCATAATAATCCGCAGACGCTGATACATAAAAGAGGGGAAGAGACTACAGGGAAAGCAGATGGTGACACTGATCTGGTTCCTTGCCCTGGACATTTCGGATCCAAGGAACCGCTTGGGGTTGGTGGTTTCCCGAAGTCCCACAGAATGGCTCGCTTCCTAGCCTCAGACGACCGGTGCCACCTAAAGCAGGATACCCCTCCTCCGAACCATTTCTGAATCCTGCTCCAGCGTGCCAGGCTTCGTTCAGCACAGCAAAGTACACAGCCGGTTTCCTAACTGTGTCTGCGCGTTGGGGTCCTTCCAAAGAAAGGAGGAAGCCAATGCCCGCTCCTTCACGCCCGCTTGGGAGTGTACATCCATTCCCACCCACTCAATTCAGTCAAACGGGGGGGGGGGGGGCGCCATGCGTTCATCCTTCGCTGCCCCCTCCCCCCCCCCCCATTGCACTAAAGCGGGGGGGGGGGGGGCGCCAGGCGTTCAGCCTTCGCTGCCCCCTCCCCCCCCCCCCATTGCACTAAAGCGGGGGGGGGGGGGGCGCCAGGCGTTCAGCCTTCGCTGCCCCCTCCCCCCCCCCCCATTGCACTAAAGCGGGGGGGGGGGGGGCGCCAGGCGTTCAGCCTTCGCTGCCCCCTCCCCCCCCCCCCATTGCACTAAAGCGGGGGGGGGGGGGGCGCCAGGCGTTCAGCCTTCGCTGCCCCCTCCCCGCCCCCACCCTAGGCAAGACTGCCGCAGTAAGCCGCCTTCTTCCGTCCAGAGCCACACCAGCAAAACCAAAACAAAACCCCAAAGGCCGGTGACGGCATGCGGGCCCCCACGGGGCTCAGCCCACGTGAAGGTGACATGGCGGCGGCGGCGGCGCGCTGCAACCTCCCCGAACGCGGCTGCACGCCCATCTTCCCCCTTCCCTGCTGCAGGCGCCCTCCTCCCCGAGACCTGCCAGCGCTCACCTGGTAGCGGAGGAGGCAGTCGGGCTCGTTGCTCTCGGCAGGCATGGCTGGCTGGCTGGCTGGCGCTGGGCGA